AGTGTGTTGGTGGGTGCTACCCACAGGGTGATGTGATGCGTCTAGTGCGGTAGTGCTAATTTAGTGTTAAGGTGCAGCTCTGCTTGCTAATCTTACGCTTTCAGCTACTGTCGCCGGCTAGCCCTCGTGGTGAAAGGGGAGAGCAGAGTGTGTAAGTCTCTTCCCTGCCGGTACACAGCCTCTCCATCACCAAGACCCTTCAGTGCCTCCTCGTGGCAACGCACGGTAACTGGGTGTCTTGCAACCCCAGGCAAATTCTGTAAGGGATCTCGGAGCAGCAGCGGGCCCCAGAGGTACGGTGTGCAGGCCCGCCTGCGTGCGGATACGCCCTGACGCCTACCAACCACTGCAACCCCCACCCCCTCCCTATTGCCTTGTGGATTAGTCTGGCGGAACATAAGGCTAGGGAAGCTCACCCTACACATACCACAGTTGGGTGACTTGCGTCAGGCAGACTCCGACTGACTGGAGCTCTGGCAGTCCCCTGCAATCACGGTCACCCGAAGGTCATCTCAAGTCCACTCTTGCCAATGGAACTTGGCGATCAGGACCAAGCTGGTGGTGGTGGTCGGGTCAGCGCACCCCGACTGTCAAGATAATCTCTTCACTGCACAGGCAAACCGTTTCATTATATCATCTCCATCAACACAACTTTACATCTCGAGAACGGGCATAATAGAGTCAGATGTGCACGTAGGGAAAGGAAACACAATTGCACTCCTTACCCAGAGCTGTTCTGCCCAGTGTGTCATAGTCTGCAGGTTGGACTCCACAACCACATTCAGTGGCACCGCCGACATCCCTAGTTTAACACTCATCATCGGCTATGACAGACAGCCTTAAGCAAGCATTACTCCTGGGTTGAATATTTCTTTACAGTAGACCTTGACCATTTGCAAGTTTCTTATTGTTCAATTCACAATGTTACACTACATCTGTACAGTTCCTTGAACCCATGTGCACACTGGGTAAAAATAAATGACACTTGCCCAAGTTTTGGCTCATAAACAAGAGGACACAGGTAACTGTAGCATTATTCCCTGAATGCTTTCAGGACTGCTTGGTCCATGGAGTGGAAATAACTTAAAATAAAAGAACTTGGTATTTAACTTCCTTCTCATCAATGACAATGCCACAGACCACTCACCCAATATCAAATTCATGCACCTAAAGGTGTAAGTGATTTTTCTGATTCCAAATACAACTTCTATACATTAACCCCTAGATCAAGGTGATATAGCAGCAGCCTTCAAAGCGTACTACACCAGTTGCATTTTGAATGTGATGGAGAATGATCTGACATTGGATGTTAGTCAGTGATGGAAGAACTTCTACATTGTGCACTGAGTCACTGACAAAAGAAGTTGCTTGATGAAATCAAACCATCCACCATGAATACCTGCCAGAGGAAGCTGTGGCCAGAGGCTCAACAACTCTGGTTTCCCTTGTGTTGCTGATGAAGCCAGGAACACCAATCAAGCCCCCCCCCTCCCTCCCCAAAGTCAGCCACCTGCATCTCCTGGGGAGTCATCATTTTTACTTCCCTTCCACCACCACCACCACCATCATCATCATCATTGTTAAAGGCAAGTTACAAATAATTCTTTGTAATTTATTTTTATTTATAGGTAATGTAATGTATTGGTCATTGCAGTATTCTTAAACATTTACCATTCCTCCCTACGTTCAGTAGAACCCTTTTTCCTATACTGTAGATCCAAGTTTTTAAATTCATAAATTCTGCATTTGTGAGAGTTTTTTAAAAACATAACCCCCACAAATACCGAAGGTCTACTGGATGTACAATATGTTTTCCTTTGCAGTTTAAAAACGAACACTGCAGCAACATGTAACTTGTTGGGGTCATCATTAAAATCCTGCACAATTAAACTTGAAGACTCATAAAAGATAGAAATGCCATGTGCTTATAATCATTCCTAATACTGTAGCATGCTGGGGTGATAAAATGCCGAGCCAATACTTACGATATTTTAAGTGGATCTTGAGTGTAATACATATTACACAGCAGTCGTATAGATGGTCTGTGTATGACGATGATTTCATCATATTTCTTTTGTTTCTTTTTTACATACTTTTCTTGGGAATATACTGTTTTATCTTTGAATGTTGTACTACTTTCTGTGATTGTCTGAATGACCTGAAAAGAAATATCTGTTTTACACACATTATTACTTTGGTGGTTATATATATATATATATATATATATATATATATATATATATATATATATATATATATATATATATATATATATATATATATATATATATATATATATATATATATATATATATATATATTAAAGATTAGTAGCATTCATAATCTCTGACCATAATGTCAATTATGAAGATGAAACAATGAGCAGCTGCTTTTTTAGTAGAAAAATTGAACTGGATATTCAATAGAGCACATTAAAAACATCAGATGCAAAATTAGTCCCCAAGTCTTAAATCAAAAGCCTTTCATAAAGACTACGGATAAGTTTATGATGGCACCAAAATTGTTGTTCTTACCTCTTTTCCTGTCAACCCTGAATCTTTAAGCTGGATAATTTCCTCCGGTGTTAACTTTTGGGACCGGCCATCATCTCGTAGGTCACGGTTGTCCTCCCCTCCCTCCATCACTGTGTAGAAAATATTATTTTTCCTTCAAGTCAATTTTATAAATGTGGCCTACTCTTATTTTTCATAAGTGACAATTCAATAGTTATAATTTGATAAATAATTAATTCATGCTTAATCACTGTCATGTCATCCTAAGGTGTGGTACAGTACTTTCACTCTCAGTGCAGTAGTTGTCTCATTAAAGAGATAAGTGAAAAAATTATCTAAATGCAGTCTAAATAGTGTAAAGGAAGCCACTACAGTATTTCAAATTTGAGACTCACCAATATCAAGAGAGCTACTAAAGTCTTCTGTCTTTTGAATCTTGAACAGTTTGTTTGATGTCCTCTCCATTTTGAAGGAAGACCCAAATAGGCAGCCAAGAGCACCTTCAATATTTAAAGTAAATTGACCACCACCTCGTTTACCAAATGCATAGGTCCTGTAAAAATAAATATGCGGTTAAGACTATTTTATTCTATCTTCATATTTACAATGGACATATTTTGACTGATCCATTTAGTGTGCACGTAAAAATTATAATCATCAATCACTGACCTGCCCCGTAAGACACGGCATGTCTTAAGGTAAGTGCCCTTCTGAATAACCACAGTGCAGCCCTCGCATATCTCCTCCTTCCCTTCTGGCATGATGACCTACAAGAGAACATTTGTTAAATATATACCGAGATATTTCTAATACTCTACCATATGTGATTGTTAGTGATATGTTCATATTGTAAATTAAAAGTACATATTATATCATTGTCTAAGTGTTAGCCAAGTTTGCACTTTTATAGGGAGCTGTACTCCTTATGGCATGCAGTTTTTTGTAAATTATTATTTGATCATTAAGACATCTTATGACAAAAGATGCCACCATAGCCCAGTGCTTTCTATGACTTCACAGAGATATGAGCCCCATTTTAACCAGTGAAAATTGTCAATAATTTGTAATGCCTTACATATTTATTCCACATTTTCCTTTTTGTAATAAATTTACAATAAAAAGTTTCTGTTCACCCATATTGTCCATTACAGTACTGTCTTTTATATTTTAGGGTTTTGGTTGGTTCATTTTCTATAAACCATTTCTGGGGTAATTACTTTCATATTACAGTCCAAATTCCTAGACTGAGGATTACCTAATTGAAATAAATACTGGACAGTAATTTCAGAATATAGATACAGATGTGTTCAGATTGAGGTGTGAACTTTTTGTGATTTTAAAAGTAATATTTTTGTAGCTGTTGTAATTTTCAAGTGTTATTAGTATATAAGACTGGGCTGTAATTGTCAAAGATTCTGGAAGGATTCAAAAGATGCCTAGATATTTATTCATTATAAATATCATTCAAGTTCCTTTTGATTTACCATGTTCAGAGATCCATTCCTGTAGTCTGTTTAAACAGAACTCTGAAGTTAGTTAAATCAAATTTAGCCCAAGATCATTAAAAGTTATTTCCTTTGTGGTACAACTAATTTCAGTAATAGTGGAGCAGACAGCTAACACCAGAGAGAGTTGTATGATTACATTTGTTTTTTCTCAGATATTCTTGGGGTGATAATAAGCAAGAAAAATGATACGGCAATTTTTTATTTTATCTTTCATGAATTCCCTGTAGTGGGCAAGGTGTGGAGGATGATCACATGACACTAAAATTATGTCTCTACATGCTTTGTGTTAGAAGAAATCTGTCTTGTTGCGTGTTGTTGTCCGCTCTTTGTTTCAGTGCAACAACTGAGCGTCTTGGTCCGACCATACTCTTAACATCCCCCCCCCCCAAAAAAAATTCACCGTGCCACTTAAAAAAAGTGGCTTTCATTGGTACCCTCAACTAAAAAGTTAGGTAAGGTTAGGTAGGTTTCTTTGGTTAGGTCAGGCTCTATTATGTTCTGTGGGAAAAATAAACAAAATCGAACAACTCTTTCTGTTGTTAGCTCCACCTTCACCCTAATTTCTTCCCTAAATATAAGCAAAGTTGTGAATAAGCTTGTTGCCACAAATGCATTTTAATTCAGAAAGCTTTTCATTCGGTGCATTAAAGCATTCTTAGGTGGGTACCGTTGGACTGGAAGACAGTATTGCACAATACCTGTACTCTAGTCTTCCAGTATAACTCTCAACAATGCCAAGTGAAGTGAAAAGAGGGAAAGTATATATTGTATAATGGATTACATCCTACTATAGGACGGTCGTCTGTTTAAGCTATTTAATGTACGGTAACTTAACCTGGTCATGTAACAAAGTATAAAAATCGTGTATTATTATTGTTTCGGTCATCTAGCGAAGTTTAGGGTTATAAGGTTAGGTTAGGGTTTTCCGATGGTTTTTTGATGCGAACAACTTCCAAATAGGTGGATGGCCAAAACGATAATTTTACCCCAAATCGCAGATCCCCAGACCCTAGCCTGATAGATACAGTACTCGTGTTCATCAGTAACTGTTGTGTTCGACCCCTGACCTGATCCTGAAAACACCTTATTATGGGGCCGACACAAAAGAGAAGCTCTTCAATAATTGTCCCATAGTCTAGAGGACTGAGCAGCGGCTGATGCAGTAATATCTAAAATATACCTACATTTGTTTTAATTTAACCATATAGCATATCTGTTATTTATATTTATTGACTAACTTGTAACTTTGCTGAATATAATTGGCAAGTAATTGGTAAACAGCCAGTTGTTGGTAATGTTAGGGGTTTATACGGTAGGCAGCGTGTTGTCAGCTGTTAGCAAGACTGTAAACAAAACCACATGTTGTGTACAGTACATCACACTCTTAACTGGAGTTGTTTATGGGAGATTAAAGTGGACTAGTAATTATTATTTACGGTAAATTGATTTAAAATTTCTATGTGATTAAATATTTTAATAATGACATGCATATTAAGTTTGCAAATAATCAATAAGATGGTGATACCATATCGAAAGATGATCCAAGATTGGTTTAATCAGTTCTTGAACAAATGATGGTGGATTTCCAGATTATAGTTTATGACATTTTACTCCTTAGGACTACGATAATAACTGCGGTATATTAGTTGTATTCCCGTGAATACTATCTTGCATTTGGTGGTACAATACAGCGGTAACACGCGTAATTATGTCAACGGCCCGGACGCATATTTTCCAAGTGTATACGCCCATACTCCCACCCCGTATCCCTCGGGACGGCTCTGGCGAGAAGCTTAAGCGGTTCTAGTCCTTTTTGTCCAACCTATATTTGAAGCTTTCCAGCGTGTTGGAGTAAAATGATAATGTTTTCTTTAATGTACAAAAGAATTCGTTTTCTGTGACTTAAGTGGGTTACTCTACCAAATCGTGTCTAATCTTGAAACTACATCGTGCTGGAAATAGAAGTAAAATTAATAACCCCCTCCCCTCCAATGGTGTACGAGGCACGTGGTGTCGTCCATATTGTATATGTCCAGGAATCTCCATAGGACTACCAGAGGTTCCGTAGGGGCCCATGAGACTACCAAGGGTCCCCCAGGGGCTACCAAGGGCCCCATGGGAGTCCCTACTCCCACCCCGTATCCCTCGGGACGGCTCTGGCGAGAAGCTTAAGCGGTTCTAGTCCTTTTTGTCCAACCTATATTTGAAGCTTTCCAGCGTGTTGGAGTAAAATGATAATGTTTTCTTTAATGTTTCTTCCTGAATGTGCTGCTTAAGGATCTGTTAACCAAAATTTGATATCTTGATTATAACTTGTTCAAATGGCTTTTAGAAAATGTTCAAATGATTTTTAGAATATTTTAATTACTTTTGCAATGCTAATTACTCGCCACTTATGGGTTTTCGAGGTCATTTCTTGGTGCTTGCGTATTATTCTGGATGTACTTAAATAGTTAGGCACATTAAATTTTTTAGTTCAGAGAGAAAACGTATTTTTGGCCAAAAATCGTTTAAGGCTTTAGACTTACAATTTTTGTCATTTCGGCCAAAAAATGGATTTTGTTCAAAATTTCAGTATAGGTACTCCTGAATGTGCTGTTTAAGGATCTGTTAACCAAAATTTGATATCTTGATTATAACTTGTTCAAATGGCTTTTAGAAAATGTTCAAATGATTTTAGAATATTTTAATTACTTTTGCAATGCTAATTACTCGCCACTTATGGGTTTTCGAGGTCATTTCTTGGTGCTTGTGTATTATTCTGGATGTACTTAAATAGTTAGGCACATTAAATTTTCGTTCAGAGAGAAAACGTATTTTGGCCAAAAATCCTTTAAGGCTATAGACTTACAATTTTCGTCATTTCGGCCAAAAAATGGATTTTGTTCAAATTTCAGTATAGGTACTCCTGAATGTGCTGCTTAAGGATCTGTTAACCAAAATTTGATATCTTGATTATAACTTGTTCAAATGGCTTTTAGAAAATGTTCAAATGATTTTTAGAATATTTTAATTAATTTTGCAATGCTAATTACTCGCCATTTATGGGTTTTCGAGGTCATTTCTTGGTGCTTGTGTATTATTCTGGATGTACTTAAATAGTTAGGCACATTAAATTTTAGTTCAGAGAAAAAACGTATTTTTGGCCAAAAATCCTTTAAGGCTATAGACTTACAATTTTTGTCATTTCGGCCCAAAAATGGATTTTGCTCAAAATTTTAGTATAGGTACTCCTGAATGTGCTGCTTAAGGATCTGTTAACCAAAATTTGATATCTTGATTATAACTTGTTCAAATGGCTTTTAGAAAATGTTCTAATGATTTTTAGAATATTTTAATTACTTTTGCAATGCTAATTACTCGCCACTTATGGGTTTTCGATTATTTTCTTGGTGCTTGTGTATTATTCTGGATGTACTTAAATAGTTAGGCACATTAAATTTTAGTTCAGAGAGAAAACGTATTTTTGGCCAAAAAATCGCTAAGGCTTTATACTTACAATTTTGTCATTCGGCCAAAAAATGGATTTTGTTCAAAATTCAGATATAGGTACTCCTGAATGTGCTGGCGGGATCTTATTGTAAAATTTACGATATCTTGATTATAACAAATAAACTTTGAAAATGTTCAAATGATTTTTTAGAATAATTTAATTACTTTTGCAATGCTAATTACTCGCCACTTATGGGTTTTCGAGGTCATTTCTTGGTGCTTGTGTATTATTCTGGATGTACTTAAATAGTTAGGCACATTAAATTTTAGTTCAGAGAGAAAAAGTATTTTTGGCCAAAAATCCTTTAAGGCTTTAGACTTACAATTTTTGTCATTTCGGCCAAAAAATGGATTTTATTCAAAATTTCAGTATAGGTACTCCTGAATGTGCATGAGATCTATTGTAAAATTTGATATCTTGATTATAACTTGTTCAAATGGCTTTTAGAAAATGTTCAAATGATTTTTAGAATATTTTAATTACTTTTGCAATGCTAATTACTCGCCACTTATGGGTTTTCGAGGTCATTTCTTGGTGCTTGTGTATTATTCTGGATGTACTTAAATAGTTAGGCACATTAAATTTTGGTTCAGAGAGAAAACGTATTTTTGGCCAAAAATCCTTTAAGGCTTTAGACTTACAATTTTCGTCATTCGGCTAAAAAGCCGTTTTGTTTAATTTCAGTATAAATTGCTCCTGAATGTACTGTAGGATCATTTAACCAAGTGATATCTGGAACACCAACCTTCAAATGGCTTTAGAAAAATGTTCGATAGATTTTCAGAAATGTTTAATTCTTTTTGCAATACTAAATACTCGCCACTTATGGAGTTTTCGAGGTCATTTCTTGGTGCTTGTAACATTTATGGATATACTTAAATAGTTAGGCACATTGAATTTTAGCTCAGAGAGAAAAATTATTTTTGGCCAAAAATCCTTTAAGGCTTTAGACTTACAATTTTTGTCATTTCGGCCAAAAAATGGATTTTGTTCAAAATTTCAGTATAGGTTCTCCTGAATGTGCTGCTTCAGGATCTGTTAACCAAAATTTGATATCTTGATTATAACTTGTTCAAATGGCTTTTAGAAAATGTTCAAATGATTTTTAGAATATTTTAATTACTTTTGCAATGCTGATAACTCGCCACTTATGGGTTTTCGAGGTCATTTCTTGGTGCTTGTGTATTATTCTGGATGTACTTAAATAGTTAGGCACATTAAATTTTAGTTCAGAGAGAAAACGTATTTTTGGGCAAAAATCCTTTAAGGCTATAGACTTACAATTTTCGTCATTTCGGCCAAAAAATGGATTTTGTTAAAAATTTCAGTATAGGTACTCCTGAATGTGCTGCTTAAGGATCTGTTAACCAAAATTTGATATCTTGATTATAACTTGTTCAAATGGCTTTTAGAAAATGTTCAAATGATTTTTAGAATATTTTAATTACTTTTGCAATGCTAATTACTCGCCACTTATGGGTTTTCGAGGTCATTTCTTGGTGCTTGTGTATTATTCTGGATGTACTTAAATAGTTAGGCACATTAAATTTTAGTTCAGAGAGAAAACGTATTTTTGGCCAAAAATCCTTTAAGGCTTTAGACTTACAATTTTTGTCATTTTCGGCCAAAAAATGGATTTTGTTCAAAATTTCAGTATAGGTACTCCTGAATGTGCTGCTTCAGGATCTGTTAACCAAAATTTGATATCTTGATTATAACTTGTTCAAATGGCTTTTAGAAAATGTTCAAATGATTTTTTGAATATTTTAATTACTTTTGCAATGCTAATTACTCGCCACTTATGGGTTTTCGAGGTCATTTCTTGGTGCTTGTGTATTATTCTGGATTTACTTAAGTAGTTAGGCACATTAAATTTTAGTTCAGAGAGAAAACGTATTTTTGGCCAAAAATCCTTTAAGGCTTTAGACTTACAATTTTTGTCATTTCGGCCAAAAAATGGATTTTGTTCAAAATTTCAGTATAGGTAGTAAAGACAAAAAGTAATTGCAGACTTCAACAATTATAATCTTTACATTCTATTCTCCTGTACCATATAACTCATTTCCCATACTGAGATATGTTTTGACAACGCTAAAGCAATACTATAATAATGATTAACATGTTTGTGTTACAGGGGCGCGGGTGAGAGTGACGGCACTATCTATGGGGACTATGACGAGGCAGCATGGCACGGTCAGGAGGGACACCCCCCATCAACTACCCGCTCTGTGCCTTCACCGCTCACCAGGTTGTGGACGAGTACCGCAAATACGTCACGAACAACGAAACTTTTGTATAGACAACCGATAAATGTATAAAAAATATATGATTTGACGTTGATGAATACCATGAAATGTGATTAATTACATGGACAATAAAGCCTGTAATATACTATATGAAACACAATTTCTATTACACCTCATTTTATGAAAACTATATTTTTTATATTGCTCGTTACACAATATATTATATTTTTCCCGGGTAATTATTGATGACTAACCTACCGCAGATTTTTCACCAAAGCAACTATTTTCTTTAATTCTTCTTAGTTGATAAGAAAATAAGCAGCAGAAGCGTTCTTAAAGACCTCACCAATCACATCAAAGTAACCTACCTAACCTTACCTAACTTCCTAGCCACGAGGCTCCACCCTCAAGACCCCT